ACAATCCCAGACTTCAAGCTCTATTACAAAGCTGTCATCATCAAGACAGTATGGTACTGCTACAAAAACAGACCCATAGATCAATGGAACCGAATAGAGAGCCCAGAAATGGACCTTCAACTCTGTGGTCAACTAATCTTCGACAAGCAGAAAGAATGTCCAGTGGAAAAAAAGACATTCTCTTCAACAAATGGTGTTGGGAAAACTGGACAGCCATATGCAGATGAATGAAACTGGACCAACTAGACTCAAAATGGATAAAAGACCTCAATATGAGACTGGAATCCATCAAAATCCATTAGGAGAACACAGGCAGCAACCTCTTCGACCTCAGCCCCAGCAACCTCTTCCTAGAAACATTGTAAACCCAAAGGCAAGGGAAGCCAGGGCAAAAATGAACTATTAGGACTTCATCGAGATCAAAAGCTTTTGCACAGCAAAGGAAACAGTCAACAAAACCAAAAGACAACTGACAGAATGGGAGAAGATATTTGCAAACGACATATCAGATAAAGGGCTAGTGTCCAAAATCTATAAAGAACTTATCAAACTCAACACCCAAAGAACAAATAATCCAATCGAGAAATGGGCAGAAGACATGAACAGACATTTCCGTAAAGAAGACATCCAAATGGCTAAAAGACACATGAAAAAGTACTCCACATCACTTGGCATCAGAGAAATACAAATCAAAACCACAATGAGATACCACCTCACACCAGTCAGAATGGCTAAAATTAACAAATCAGGATATGACAGATGTTGGCAGAGGATGCAGAGAAAGGGGAACCCTCCTACACTGTTGGTGGGAAGGCAAGCTGGTGCAGCCACTCTAAGACAGCATGGAGGTTCCTCAAAAACTTGAGAATAGAGCTACCCTTTAAAGTACACACATGGTCCTGTAGCCAACAAATGATAAAACAAAATGAGTTACTTGTCCCCTCCCCTGAGTTCAAACATAGTGATAACATTTATGTTATAAGAATTCTGCTGGTTCTCAGAACACACGCAGCAATTCATACAAAAACTTGAAATAACGGTTGGAAAGATAGAAGGTGGTTAGGCCTCTTATAGGAAGTAAATGGTGTCCTGCATTTGGAGAGGGTCAGAGTCCATGCTGTCTGGATAGGTGATGCCTATCCCACCTGAGCATGGCAAGAAAGCAGCAGAAACAGCCCAGCGTCAGTACAAGGCTGCGAACTAATGATAGAGTAGCTTTAGAGCTCAGCTGGGGTATAGAATCCCAGACCCATACATGTGGGGGTCTGGATAACCCCTAAGCATTCACTTCTCCCCACCTCAACTGTGGTGCTCCAACTGCAGCAGAGAGAGGCTACCATAATAGGTAGCCTGGTGGGAATAATGGTTGGGAAGGAAGTACTTCAAAGTCTTGCTAGTGAAAGGGACATCCATGACAAATGAGCAGTGGTGACTGAAGCCAGATTATACGTCATAGGCTGGTTCCTCTCCCCCAACCACTAATTGCTTAAAAGAGTACAATTGAGAGTCAAGGATTTTATCGTTCTTCCTAAGCAGATCTCAGTAGCTGAAATAAAATATGTGTACATAGAAAAAAGAAAGGAGACCTCTGAAGAGTGTAAGCACCATGAAAGTAGAAATACAGAAAGATCTATACCAGAGGAAGTCAAATATAAGGGAAAGCCCATAACAGTATTTAAATTAAATATGAATGGCTTCAGAAAGATGAGGGAGGATATTAGAAATATGAGGCATCCACAAACAGTTATGAAAACAATTGCAGCTATTGACAACAAAATATATCATTGTTGATACGAAGTCAGTGAATAGGTTAAATAACAGAAGGATACACTCTAAGAAAAATCAGTATACTGGAATGGCAGATTGAGGAATGTTCCCAGAGGCACCAGGAAGAATAGAAAGAGTAGAAATAATGAGAGACAAGTTAAGAAATACAGATGACAGGGGCACCTGGGTGGCTCAGTGGGTTAAGCCTCTGCCTTCAGCTTGGGTCATGATCTCAGGGTGCTGGGATCGAGCCCCGCATCAGGCTCTTTGCTCGGCAGGGAGCCTGCTTCCTCCTCTCTCTCTGCCTGTCTCTTTGCCTACTTGTGTTCTCTGTCAAATAAATAAAATCTTAAAAAAAAAAAAAAGAAATACAGATGATAGAAGTATCAAGAGCATCTAATGGGAATTCCAAGAAAGAATACGGTAAGAAATATTAAAAGAAACAGTAACCAAAGATTATCCAGAATAATACAAAGTTATAGGGCTGCAGATTTAAAGGGGGTATAGAATGCCAAATATGAGATAATGGGTACATATCTGAGAGAAATTTAAGAACACTGAGAAACAAGAAAATTCTGAAAGATTTCAAAAAGGAAATGGAGATCATTTACAAAGGACAGAGAATCAAATTGACATCAGACTTGAGACAAGGGAGCAATTAATACCTTTGAAGTTCTGAAAAAGAGAACTTTGAAACTGAATTTTATATCTAATTAAATTGTTATTCCATGTGAGGACAAAATAAACATACTGATAGGCATTTGAGGTCTCAAAGAGCATGCCACATAAAATTTCTCTTTAAAAGATATGTTGGAGGGACGCCTGGGTGGCTCAGTTGGTTAAGCAGCTGCCTTCGGCTCAGGTCATGGTCCCAGCGTCCTGGGATCGAGTCCCACATCGGGCTCCTTGCTCATCAGGGAGCCTGCTTCTCCCTCTGCCTCTGCCTGCCATTCTGTCTGCCTGTGCTTGCTCTCTCTCCCTCTCTCTCTCTGACAAATAATTAAATAAAATCTTTAAAAAAAAAAAAAAAAGATATGTTGGAGGACTTATTATAGTGAAAACTAAATGAAATGCATGAGTAAGCAACTAGATATAAAGAAAAAGAAGGGTAAAGATAATTCACTGTTACTTAAATTTAAAAAGTACACCCATAATATCTGGATTAATATTTCCAAGCAGTATTGACATAGGGTAGGAGAAACAGAAGGAGTTAAAAGCATATTAAAATATTAATTTTGTTTGAGACAGGCAGGGTGAAATGTGTATTAATAAGCTTAGTGATAGGGAAAATAACCATCACTATGAATTTTGGTATGTAATGTGTAACCATCAGAAACAGAAATAGAATATGTAACACTGTTTATTAGAAGGACATCAATTTATCCAAGAGCAATAGGGAAAAAGAAAAAAAAGAAGGGTAGTAACAACAACAAGAACAACACACACATGTACACACATCTGCACACACAATGGAGTAGCTAAAATAATCCTTGGGAGTATAGTAATTATTGTCAATGTAAATAGATTCAGGCAATTAATCAAAAGATGGACTATAGGATGGCAGGATAAAGTGAATAGTCACTTCTACAAGGGATAAGTAGGAAACAAAAGGATACAGAGAAGCTGGAAGTAAAGGAAGAAAAGGAATAGTAGGCAAACACGAACTATAAGTAGAGGCAGAAATCTTTAAATTCTGTATAATAAAATTTAATGTTATAGATGACAATGATAAGGAAATAAAATCTGGAAGAAATAAAACAAAGAAATGGAAAGATTAGGAACACACACACCTAACAATACACGGTTGAGCACTAGTGAGCAGCTAACACACCATGGAGGTACATATGTACGTGAATTACATTTGCTCCTTACGTTTGTGAGTTTTCTAGTTCTTTGATTGGTCCCTTTCTTCTGTGGACTATGTCTGTATTGTTTACATTCATTTCTCTCCTGTGACTTGTGTTTTCGCAGTGTTGTACAATGTTTTTAACAGATGAGGAGAAAAAGAAGTTGGATTCAAACAGTGCAGGTTTCCTATTTGTTAAAGATTTTGTACTAAAGTGAGGTGAGGCAAGGGGCCAACATGAAATCAGAGCACTTCCTGTAACTTCCATTTAATCTTCTGTCTTCTAATTTCTCCACAAGTAATGGAAAATATACATACTGATTTCCTAATGATCTGAGCTTCCATGGCAATCTGTGATCTAGAATAGTAAGTCAAGTACACAAAAACTCACAGAGAAATGTCCTCTAGAAACTGGCTCTTTGGATAGCATCTGCAAGGCCTGATTCAGTTGTTTAATTTTTTTTCCCCCAAATAACTAAAATGCTAGAGAAAGAATCAATTCTATTTGTACCTAGGTTTTTGGAGGAGTCTATTTTTATACTCCTTGCTTTCCTTGAAGAAAAGCAAGATTTGAAAATAGCAACATGAAATTAGTCATATAAGGACATTTTTAAAAAAGGGAAAACAATTTTCAATTCTACAGTGTTTCTTAATCTTCCTACTTAAACATCTTACCATCCGTGAAACAGAAATAAAAAATAATAAGCATATAACTAAATTACTATGCCTCAAAATGCTTTGATTAGTCGTTAATCACAATCTGTGGATTTTTCCTCTCTGTGTGTTATTATTTTCAGAAACCATTCCAGGCATTATTGCAGGAGTCCAGTACCACATTTACTTCACATAATGATTTCTCCTTCACCATACTCTATTTCTGCATGTGCAATAAAAAGATTATACTAATACAGCCGTTACCACAAATGAAAATATTCACAATATTCTATAATTCTCAACATTCAAAAATGCAACTATGTGATTAAAATGCAACTCATTTCCACCCACCTGTTGTAGTCAACTTCGTTAATAAAGATAAATGTGAATTGTGAACTAAAAGGTGTTGGGCACTCCAAGGACTAAATAGAGGTGCTTTGTTTCTTCCATCATACCTGTATCTTAAATTCCTTCAGCTCCTACCTGTCAGCTCCAGGCTGCCAGTGAGCAGTCTGTCACTCTTGCCTAGACTAATAGACTCTCTAGTGGCTTTTGTTACAGCTCATGTCATACTATTAAAACTATGTGCCTTGGAAGTGGCATCACAAATGTAGCTGAATCTTGTCAACTCTACATAATCAGACTGTATTTGGCTGTACAAGCAGATGCAAATTAGAGAAGCAATACAAATATGCAAATCACAGTGGTCCCCTTTCGGTACCACAGTTCCTACCTCTAATGGCCCTCGCAGAAACTCTGCTTGTTCGGCTCCTACTTCCAGTGCAACATCAACAGAAGCAAAGGGACGGCTGGCCATCTGCTGTCGTTCTCGAAGCAGTTGCTGGAGGGGGTTAAAAATGATTTGTTTAAAATGGGTTTAAAAACACAGGAAATTCAACAAGATCGGTTTCCATTTTGAACAAATGGTACTCAAAACTTAGGAACCATCTGATACACATATCTATACCTAGATCACTAACATAAAAATTGTTTTTTCCCCATGGCCTGGGTCATTAATCCACAGAGGCTTTGAACGCATGATTATTGTAAAGAACTTTTCCCCTTACTTCCATCCCACAGACCTACTGAAATGTACTCAAAAGCATTCTGAAAACCCAAGATGGGAGGGCTAGTTCAGTAAAAGGCCCTGCTATGAGGATGGATCTGCCAAGTCTTCCCACTCAAAATAATGCAGCTTTTGTCTCAGCTGAAGCTAAAGCTAAATACCAGTAAACGTGTTTAAGAAAAGATAATAAAAAGTTTCAAAAGGGGGCGCCTGGGTGGCTCAGTGGGTTAAGCCTCTGCCTTCAGCCCAAGTCATGATCCCAAGGCCTGGGATCGAGCCCCGCATTGGGCTCTCTGCTCAGCGGAGAGCCTGCTTCCACCTCTCTCTCTGCCTGCCTTTCTGCCTGATTGTGATCTCTGTCTGTCAAATAAATAAATAAATAAATCTTAAAAAAAAAATTTCAAAAGGCATTAATAGAGATTAAAGAAACATACACCTGCCAAGATAAGTTTTGGCAGTCATCAAGATTCTGTCAACTGCTGTGGAACCAGCAGGAATTGTTACTGACAGTGTTTGTAACTTGATTCAAACCGTCTGTGTTCATTATTTAAAATGAGCAATGATTAGTAGGTTACAAAAATTTTGTGCCAGGGCTTCTGAAGCACTCCCAGATATTTGTTTCTTTGTCCTTGTGTCTACTCTGGGCTTTGCCCAAGCTAAAAGCAATAAACTAGCAAATCCCAGCCAACTACCAACCTAATTTATATTTCTGCCTTTCCTTGTAATTATAATATTCATTAAGTCATGATAAGAAAAAATTGATGACCAGCAGTAGATATTGCAAATCTTGCCCTTCTCATTCAACACAGCTAATAAAATTATTATTAAATATTAAAAGTGGATGAGTGATGCAATTAAATACTCTTTCAAATGAGAAGAAAATCCTATCATTGAAAAAGGCAAAATCCTTGAACACAATGAATAGCTTCATTATTCACAGAGATTTTTAAAGATTCACTGGCATTAACTTAAAACGTTAACAACTGGTATGTGAATGTAAATGTATGTCGTGTCGTGATGCATCATTCATAAAATTCGCTTTCAGTTGATGAAGGAACAAAAGCCAACACCTGATGGCAGTTTATTATTTAACATTTTTGTTTTAACACTTGTAACACAGCAGTGACAGTGTTCATGAAATGAGCATCTAAAATATAATTTAAGGCCTTGCTTTGTCATTATTAAAAAGAGAACATCCACAGGCCAATATGGATGGATAGAAATAATACACTTATTATTGAGTAATAGTTTAAGTTCCTAAATTATATGTATATTTAAAAGCAATGAAGACACACTAAAAACATATTCAAAGGAAAAAGTGAAAGATATAAACCACTAAATTATTCACTTAATATAACCTCAAAATTACATTATTAAAAATATAGCTGCTAGAAAATAGAATCTTGTTTGTGCCTTAGGAGTGGTCAGTAGATCTGAACATTCTGTTTATACAAATGCAAATGTAACATTACTTCAGATGTCAAGGGATACCAAGTGTAGAAGACACAATGCTCTTTGTCTCTCAGATAAAAATATACATACAGGTCCACACATAGATACAGACACAGACACATACACACACACACAAATACACAAACTATCTTTCCTATGGTAATGTACAAATACCCATGAGAAAATTGTAAATTCTAGTTTGGGTTTAAACACAATTTTCTAACATTTGTATTAAAAAGTTTCTTCATGTGGGGGCGCCTGGGTGACTCAGTTGGTTAAGTGTCTAACTCTTGATTTTGGCTCAGGTCATGATCTCAAGGTTGTGAGATTGAGCCCAGCATTGGGCTCCACGCTAGGTGTGGAGCCTGCTTAAGATTCTCTGTCTCCCTCTCCCTCTGATGCTCCCAACCCCTTTCTCTCTCCCTCTCTCAAAAAATTGTTTTTTCTTCATTTATACTAGTTCTCCTCAGATTACAAATGACATCTCATATAATTGAGAGATTTTTTTTTCCTTCCACATTTTTATTTAAATTCAAATTGGTTAACATATAGTGTAGCATTGGTTTCAGGAGTAGAATTTAGTGATTCACCTCTTGGATATAATACCCAGTGTTCATCACAAGTCCTCCTTCCCCATCACTGATTTAGCGCATCCCCCACACCCACCTCCCCTCCAGCAACCCTCAGTTTGTTTTCTATAGTTAAGAGACTTTTAACAAAATGAACAGCTCTGTTTCCTTATCTTACCTTTTCCCTAGATCTAAAAGTAAAAGGTCTACAAAATATAATTCATTAATACTCAATACCACAAATTGTAGTATAAGTCTATAAATATTCCAAATTCACTATCTTTGACAAAGAATATATTTCTCTGGACTGTAATGTATTATTGTGAACCCCACTACTCATAATAAAGAAAAATCAATGACTACCTAATACTTTTGTTCATTTAAAAAAAATTTGTAGAATACAAAGGTATTTTAAAGATTCTAATCTGTCCTCTGAGGTTTGAATTTACATTGCTTTTTAAGAATCGAATGCTTCCTACAATACTGTTTGCAAAATCAGAAGAAAAACACTATTCTTGCCCAAGATCATAATGCTGTAATACATAAAAAGAGACATGGTAATATAAAAATAATTAGGGCACAAGATAGTGTACTTTAAAAGATACAAATAGGGAATTAGCCAGACAAATTAACTCTGGGCCACTTAGTAGAGGATGAGTTCAAGGACTGGCTGAACACTGAATTTCTGACTTTAGAAAACTAATGCAAATATTTTGACTGAAACTCAGAAAAGGTAAGTCACTTTCTCCTGAAAACTTTTGCTTTGATATGATGGCCCTAAAATAATGAAGTGGAATAAAGTGAGATTCTCTTTGCTACTAATTTCTGGCGTTGAGCCATATCCTTACCAATTGTGCCCCCTCTTGCCAGGTAACATCTGTATGCATTCCTTCCTGAATTTAGTCCCCTCTGTGTCAGAACAAAAAGGATGTAAATGACATGCTGGTGACTTCAATATTGTCAAAGTTTATCTGACAGGCCATATAGTCAGACTTTGGAGTGAAGAGGTCCTGTGTCTGAACACCATTTTTTTTTTCTTCACTTATTAGCTGTTTGAGCTTAACCAAATTATTTAGAGTTCTCTAAGCCTCAATTTTTCTCATTGGAATAGTTGGGATATTAACAGTGTCTATACCTACAACTATACCTCAGAGGACTTGTTTTGAATCCCAGCTTCTCCATCCACAAACTCTTGGACCATAGCCAAATTACTCAGACCTTTCTAATACTTATTATTTCTCTCCATAAAAATGGGAATAACAATAATATCAGAAGGGATAAGGCACTGAAGAGGTAATTCCTTTGGACAGCTCAACACAGAGACTGGAACATTGTGAGCAATCAGTAACTGTTCATTGGTACAATTATTATGTTAAATTTCAAGCACTAATTTTGTCTTTGAAGGTGGCACACTAATTACCAGAGGTCCATTTTCTTCAGCACTAGTGACACATTTTGCTCCACTACTCTCCCTTTTAACAAATGTTGCGTATTTATGACACAGTTGTTAAATGTCATGATTGTGGTAAAATGAATTTAGACTTGGAACTGCTTTCTGCTATTTGTGACTAAGAATGATAAAACTTCAACCTACAAATTGGGAGGAAGTATAGAATATTTTCTTAAGAACTTTTGAAATTAAATTAATTTTGTGATTGTGATTTTTATATAAAATGAAGTTTAACATTTTGTACAGCAATAAGAAGCCATAAAACAGATGATCTGTTTTATAACTATCTGCTATTGCCAATTATTTAGCATAAAGATAAAGCCAAAAGAACAAATTGACCAAAATACAATAGATTATAATCATGCTGCCATAAACACTGTGAAGAAAATTTAAAAATTAAAGAGATGTTCTTAGTGTCCTGTTTGTTGTCTATAATAACTATTTTATTATTCAAAATGTCTTACAAAACAAACCATGAAATTAAAAATAATATGAAAATCCCGGCTTAAATGTGGCAACCAGGAATAATCATTGATTTTATCAAATGTATATATGATAATTTTTCTACTCAATACTACTATTTCAAATACTGTATCATTCTTCATAGTTCATACTAACCACCTTTCCAACAAAAGGCATACTACTCTCTAACAGATTTTAGGAAAATAATCCTTAAAAGCTCACACAACAGAACAGTAACTAACTGTCCCCAGTTGTCTTCATGTCTCCTTCATTCTATGTCTAGGTTCTATCCATCCTTCTTCCCCACTTCTAAAGGTGCTTCTACTTCACCCCAAGTTTGAAGTAATCATTTCACTTATAAATTATTTACTACATTAGTATGGTACTATCTTCTAATATCTTTAGACTTTTCTGAAATCTTCCTTAAGGAAAAGATCTGTTTTTGTTTTTTATTACTCACAGTGCTAGTTGGTAGTCAGCAGTATTTGATGAATGAACAATTAATGAGTGACTTAAAGTATAAAAATCTATATCATCCAAATGTGAGTGAAAGCAAGTTATGATAAAACTAATTTTAATTATGATTAAGCCTTTAAAAGTATGTGTTCCCCCTCCCAAAAAAAGTATGTGTCCCTGATATTCTAGAAGTTTTATCCTCCAAACTAAACGGATATATATATATATATTTTTTTTTTTTTTTGAATGGGGCAATTTTGTGGACCCAACAAATCAATGGCAGGTTTCATGTTGCTTTTCATTTACCTTATTGTAATACTGCAAAAATTATGAAAAAAAAACCACCATAAAGTCATTATAACGCATTCGTATTTTTAATAGCAATT